AACCAGATCACGGATTTTATGTAATGTGTTGAAACGGACCTGGATCTTGTGTTTATTCAAGATTTTGGAGATCTTTTTTGTGATCCCAGCAATGTAGGGTAAAGTGATGGTTTTGAAAGGCTCCTCAAGAGGGTTCTTCTTCATGGTTTGAGTGATTGCTTTGCGGATTGTATAGTCGGAGTAACCATTAGCCCTAAGAGCTTGGTGTACGTGCTTGAGTTCACTGCTTATGTGTTCCTGGTCGGATATGCATTGGGCTCTATGATACAGAGTCTTGATAAGAGAATTCTTCTGTGATGGATGGTGGTGGGAATCCGGTTTCAGATAAGCATCCGTATGGGTAGCTTTCCTGTAGACAGAGTGGCTCATTGAACCATCAGGTCTCTTTTTAATTAGGACATCCAAAAAAGGTATCTTGCCATCTATTTCGACTTCCATGGTAAATCTGATGGCTGGGTGTATGGAATTGATGTGGTCGAAGAATTGGTCTAGAGCAGGCCGGCCATGTGGCCAGATGACAAAAGTGTCATCCACGTACCTCTTCCATAAGGTTGGGCGCAGAGTGGCAGTCTGGATGGCGTCAGTCTCAAATTTCTCCATGAAAATGTTAGCTATAACTGGAGAAAGGGGGGAGCCCATTGGGGTGCCCTCAGTTTGTTTGTAGAAAGTTCCATTCCAAGTGAAGTATGTATTGGTTAAACAGTGTCTCACCAGGGGGGGTACCTCAGTGTTTAGTCCTTGATGAACCAAGTCTTCAATGATTGCAATGGTGTCAGGTACAGGAACCTTGGTGAATAAGGAAACTACATCAAAACTGACAAGCAGGTCGTCTGGGGACAGGGAAATACCCTTGATTGTTGATACCAGGTGAGTAGAATTTTGTACCGCAGAGGTGGTCTTTCCAGTGAAAGGACGCAGGATTTCAGACAAAAAACGAGCTAGTTTGTAGGTGGGGGAGCTGATAGTAGAGACTATGGGACGAAGAGGTGTATCAACTTTATGTATTTTCGTTGAAACCTTCTGCTGCCAGGCCACCAAGATTATACGGCTTACCAAAAATACATAAAGTTGATACACCTCTTCGTCCCATAGTCTCTACTATCAGCTCCCCCACCTACAAACTAGCTCGTTTTTTGTCTGAAATCCTGCGTCCTTTCACTGGAAAGACCACCTCTGCGGTACAAAATTCTACTCACCTGGTATCAACAATCAAGGGTATTTCCCTGTCCCCAGACGACCTGCTTGTCAGTTTTGATGTAGTTTCCTTATTCACCAAGGTTCCTGTACCTGACACCATTGCAATCATTGAAGACTTGGTTCATCAAGGACTAAACACTGAGGTACCCCCCCTGGTGAGACACTGTTTAACCAATACATACTTCACTTGGAATGGAACTTTCTACAAACAAACTGAGGGCACCCCAATGGGCTCCCCCCTTTCTCCAGTTATAGCTAACATTTTCATGGAGAAATTTGAGACTGACGCCATCCAGACTGCCACTCTGCGCCCAACCTTATGGAAGAGGTACGTGGATGACACTTTTGTCATCTGGCCACATGGCCGGCCTGCTCTAGACCAATTCTTCGACCACATCAATTCCATACACCCAGCCATCAGATTTACCATGGAAGTCGAAATAGATGGCAAGATACCTTTTTTGGATGTCCTAATTAAAAAGAGACCTGATGGTTCAATGAGCCACTCTGTCTACAGGAAAGCTACCCATACGGATGCTTATCTGAAACCGGATTCCACCACCATCCATCACAGAAGAATTCTCTCATCAAGACTCTGTATCATAGAGCCCAATGCATATCCGACCAGGAACACATAAGCAGTGAACTCAAGCACGTACACCAAGCTCTTAGGGCTAATGGTTACTCCGACTATACAATCCGCAAAGCTATCACTCAAACCATGAAGAAGAACCCTCTTGAGGAGCCTTTCAAAACCATCACTTTACCCTACATTGCTGGGATCACAAAAAAGATCTCCAAAATCTTGAATAAACACAAGATCCAGGTCCGTTTCAACACATTACATAAAATCCGTGATCTGGTTCCGTCTGTAAAAGATGTGATTCCGGACATACAATACCCTGGTGTCTACAAACTAAGTTGCCTCTGTGGTAGTAGTTACATTGGAGAAACCAAACGCCATATCTCGGACCGCATTCGTGAACATAAAGCAGACCTTAAACACGGTAGGACCAACACCTCGGCCGTAGCAGATCATTGTTCTAATTCAGTAGGCTCACATGCCATTGACTTTTCCAAGACGGAGGTTCTTTGTAAGCCATCTGGCTTCCATGAGAGATTCGTTCATGAGGCTATCCACATATACAAACACAGAGACAATTTCAACCGAGAAGATGGATTCTATCTTAGCAATCATTGGAAAGATTTGATAAATCATTTCAGTTCTTGATTGATTGTTCACGCTTACAGTGGCTTTCAGACAGCATACATAAAAACAAATTTCGTCTCCCCCCTCCTCTTTTCAAAAAATAGATGGACTAGTCCTGGCAAACAGCCAATCGTTGCGCGTGACGCAAACGTTATTTTTATATATATAAATAAATATGCCGTTTTCAAAATAAATTTATGCAAACCGACACACCTGATGATGACCGTTTGAGTTATGGTCGAAACGTCGTGAGAATTTTTTATTGTTTTATATATATTTTGTTATTTTGTTGTTTCTCTTCAACGTGACTTTACCGAAAAAACTAAGAATATGAATTACTGCAGTCACGAAAGCTTTAAATCAAAATTTCCCTTTACAATTACAGGTATGCAGAGGTTAGACATGTACTCACTTTTGCTTAAACTTTCAATCATTTGAAGCACATTTGTATAGTTTGTTCTGAACTAAACATTTGACGCGTGATTTATCGCAGGTAAATTTGACGCACGAGTTATTTTAAAAGTTACTTGTATGGCGTCATTTTTTAACCGGAGCTAAAAAGTGTTCACCAAATGAATGTATTCCTCCACATTCCTTTAAGCAGTCCATAATTTACTGGAAAATAAACTGTCAACACAATGTATTCGCCAAACTTGTATTACTTTCTGCATTTTACTAGTGACAATACATTACAATGCGTGTAGTGTACTTGCATACACACAAGCATAAAAACAAGCACGAGTTAAATTTGAGATAAGCTAAATATCCTAGATTTGAAGCTTTCGTTTTTATTCGGTTAAGTCACGTAGGTAAAAAAAACAAATAAAAATTAAATAAAATAAAAAATTAAAACACAACACAAACTTCCGTCTTCAGGTTCAGCGATTTTTTGCTGTGACTGTTTCCACCTGAAGACGGAAGCTTGTGTTGTGTTTTAATTTTTTCTTTTATTTAATTTTGTTGTTGTTTTTTTACCTACGTAACTTAACCGAATAAAACCAAAGAGTATAAGCAAAATATACCAATGTGAAAAGTAGAAGTGACGAAAACTTCACGCAAAAAATACAGCAAATTAGTTGGGAGACTTGGTCAAAACGACATTTACTCTGAAGACAGAAGATTATCCTAATTCGGAGACTAGACAGATCTTACAAGCTAGTTTTCGCCTAAAGGCATCATCCCTAACTAGGCAGAGCTGAAAAACTAAGGGTCCCCGTTCAACAGGCAGTGCAATCGAGAATGCTTTTCTATTGAATGACCGGTTAGCTCAGTGCATCGAAACAGGATTAACGTCCGCGCAGCTGCCTTGCGTCAGATTGTTTCAAGATATGGTGGACATTCACTACCAATGCAATTGGCATCCATGTTAGTTACTTTAGCACGTCCATTTTGGTTAGGTCATCTAGCAATGCACAATGTTCTCTGCCATTTTAATCAAGGCACTACTAACACCGTACAATAGAAGTTAACATCCACCTTGTAGCGCTATGGCAAACCTCTGCTCATTTAATGTCCCCCAGGTCACCGTCTCACACGTCGACATGCACAGGTGTGTACATACACCTGTGACGAAACCATTTGAAACGAAGTCATTATTTTCACAAATTGCAGCACTGCGGAATTGCCGTGTTCAGACAAACACCCTCCACAATTTTCAGATGGTTTTGAGAGATCAGGGAGCACAGTTGCGTTCGTCATCTATACACACGTACACCTGCATGCAGATGTAGCGTATAACAACTTATGAACACATGTATAAACGGTAAAGTTGTAACTATGCATCCCCGTGAGTTGACAAACTGCCACCAATTAGGGTTGCAGGCGTAGCATGAACCCATTACATTAAACCATTTATCGGCAAACCGATTGTCCAATAATTAATTTCTCCAGTTGATAAATCCTGGTTGCCGGAGCATGGCCATCCATATAGTCGGGTTATAGACCGCGGTTAAATGGAGTCATTTGGCATATACCGACAACCATCCAGGGTCAGATAGTTATTCAAATATCCAGGGTTATTCAGGTAAAGTGGGTGAACAAATCTTAGGACAGCCTCCTGCCGCCAAATGAACTATGGGTGCAACAGCTGATATGCTTTCTATACTGAATTGGAGGCGCTAGAACTCAGTCCTAAAATGATAGCAAGCTCCTTCCCATACCCATCAAGTTGGGAGAGACCGTGTAGGACTGGTGCCAAAGAGGCAAGCGCCTACTGGCCACATCACATTGAGAAACTTTTATCTAGAGTTAGAACTACAGATAAGAGTTTAGGCAAAGTCTTACAACCAGATATTCCTGGATAATTCTATTTAGAACGTTTTGTACCACAGCCAACCGTGCAAATCCGTGGGGTTGGGACCCTGGATATGGAAAAGGGGTAAATGGCCTTATGGCAGAACAGCATTGGTTTAGTTTGTGGCCTTCCCCTGCACCTCCAATCAGCACGGATGGCTACATACGTGCAACAGTTGGCTACATACATGCAACAGTTAAACATAAACAAAGGCTATCAGTGTGAACGTGACCAAAATAGAATCTATAAAGCAGATTCACATCGGGATCCTAAGTGGTAAATTATTGAAGCACAAGGGTGATAAATTACTTGCTTTTATTGAACTTCAAGGTCACAAATATGCATCAGATCTTTGTAAGCGTCATCCTCATAAACACACAACTGCCAAAGTGCAGACCCAAATGCTAGGGAGTCATGTAAAGTGGTTATATGGACTACATCTTTGAAGAATTTAGATATGCCATTTTAAAAGTATGTTTAATCATAAGTGCTTTTTAAATGAAATAATCCATGGTGATATAAGGGGACCATATGACAGATGCTGTAATCCGTGACACACTGGAGTTTAGTTCCTTAGCCACGAAAATAATTTGCGTAGGGTGCAAACGGCAACAGATTATACAAGAAATCAGCCACGCAATCATTCCAGCCGCAAAAGTGTGGATTATAGGACTCACTAAAAAATAATCCACAATAAATTCGCACGAGTTTGCAAGTCTTCAAAATGGTTCAAATCTGCAATGTTATTTTTTTGCTTGACATGCAAAGCAAAAATATTGAAACTGCAATTTTTTAAAAAAACTTTCCCTCCATTGAGACGTATCACCACGTTAGCCCTGCCCACTTGTGGATCACAGACCACGAAGCATTTTCAATGTCAGTGTGCCGAGGGTTACAGCAGTCACAAAACCGCCAAGCCACAAAGTACAGTATTTGTGGATCATCTATTGTGAATTACTTGACTTGTCGCAATGAAATTTACCCAGGAAAAAAACTCAATAAGGATCAAGATGTTTTCATCTATTTGTTTTCCATGTGGGAGAAAACAAGAGTATCTGGAGAAAACCCACAAATGTGAAGGGGTAACTCAAAGGTCAGCCCATATAGTCAATGCATTCCTGTACCTCCCATTTCCAAACTCCATCTCAACTCAAGCCTACAACACCCGATAATCCTAAGCGGCCTCCCATTCAAGCAATAACCAGGCCCAACCTCGCTCAGCTTCGGAGACCTGACAGATCGGTTGTATTCAGGCCGTTTTGTTTTATACAAGTGTCTGCTCAGCCGCTTGCTATGTGGCTTTGCTTGGCCAGCTTGTCAATGAGTTGCCGCCACTCTCTCCTCTGCTGAGTCACATAAGTCGGAGTAATTATCTCATTCAAGGCAGGGCCCATTCTCCCCAACATGAACTCTTTTGCCAGAATTCTTGCATGGCACAGCACATACATTCCACAGTCATATGCATTCTCCTGCTGTGGAGTCTCAAGTTTTTCGCTGAAGATCGGGTTTAAAGACTCATCCCTGCCCAGGAATAACTTCAGCCTCCGTGCAGTGTGAAGTGCCTGCGTGCTGTTGCAACTTCCTTGGCTCGAGTCATAGTGCAGGAATGTATCCGTCGACCTGCCAGGGTTGCAGATAGGGAGGAAAATGGGTTTGGGGGGGGGGGAATAAAAATCTGCTTCAGCACAAGTCAGTTTTAAACAACGGATATTCTTGGCTCAACATTGTTTTAATAGCACACACGTGAAATGATGTCAACCACCCAAACTTTATACTCTAGATATTTTAATAATAAAAATGGGGCAGTACGCAACAATTGACAATGCTGCTTCATTGCACCCAAATGCACATTATAGCACGAAGTTCATAAAAACCTCAGACCAAAATACAACTTTAATTATGTTTGTTATGCTCTGAAGATTTAAGGTTAACTGGATGGTCTTTCTTTTTTAAACATCTGCACCATGACTAAGACTTTCCCAACCTAATAAATGGGTTACTCATAATATGCTACGTTCAACATGACACTCATTAACAAATTCCTTAAGTTGTGCCGTCATTTCTTTAAATCTAGTGTTTCCAAGTGCTTGTGGGGTTCACCATTGCTTACAAAAATGCTTGACTAGTTCAGGACATGAAAAAATGCACATGCTACTTCCAAAATCATATACAGTACTCCAAGTAATGCTGTACAGTACACATCTTTAATGTACATTTTATTGTTAGTATAAATGGATATGCGAAGAAAAGTTTAATTTGTCAAGTCTATAATTTGTCAATTCTATAAGCAATGCAGACTGATGTGGCTTTTTGGTGCAGTGAGCTGCACAAGCCAGTTGCAAGGGGCCTGGATCTCTAAAGCAACCGAGTAATTTCTATGGAGCATTTTACCAAAGTGCGCCATCTGTCACCACTTGTCTTATGTAGGATTAGTAATTATAACATTAAGAAAACATGAACCCCGATGAGCAATTACATTACCATTGCATACGTTTAACTATTAGTAACCAGAGCCAAACCTAAAAATGAACATTTCTACACTGTATTAGGCACTAATAGAATTTCGAGTTTCAAAACAGGTGAAAATACACCAGTTCTCACAAGGGCTTTTAATCAAATAAATCCCAACTCCTAAGAAAGATCTGCATTGGAATATTTGAATTTATTTAAGCAGTGTTTTCATGCATAACGACACCATAGTAGACCCGGGGGGACGGCTCGTGCAATGCGAGTGCATCACGCAGTCCTGCCAGCTGTGCATACCTGTCGTAAAGCAAGAGGCTCCAGTGTGTGCCCCCGCTAGTATTGGGCGACGCATGATCGTTGATGGCCAGGAACACGAAGTCTTTCTGCGGCAGGTCCAGCGGCCCAAGGACGACTCCAATTTCTTCGTCTGGTGAAAACTTTATGAAATGCGACACCTCGGGCCCGATGAAGCACAACTTCTCGGCGTTGGGCATCCCCAAAAACTCCTCCAGCTCCATATACTCAAAGGCGAACGCCATCACCTGATCGTTAAACCAGTTCGGTGGTTCCAGCAGTGCCACATCGGCACGACGAAGCAGGCAATTGTTGTAGCTCAGCACCACAGGATTCATGGCAGTTGTGGCACCGAGTGCCCACGTAAGCTATGAGGAAATAAAGAAAAAAAGGCCAAGCAAACAGCTCACTTAATGTTCTCATTGCACATATTAAAAAGAGCATCGATGTGTTTGTTCATATTGCATTTGAATACATTTGTTGGACGAGTCCTTTACTAAATGTAGATCATTCTCCCGGTGAAAAACTAACAGTCGATAACAATATTATTGAATAAGCTCAAGTGACTCAGATTTCTGGTTTGTGTGGAGAATTTACTAGTGGTTACCGTTGACTATATAATGGATGCTAAAGACTGACAAGTTGCATTGTTTTTTTAACACTGGATTGGATACAGTTAATACTACAGCTGGGTATTGATAAAGACTATCAAGTTCAAACTTTAAGAATGAAGTTACTCTGAAATATTTAATGACCGCCTTGTTTTCTCCACGCGACATGCTTTAATACCGATCACTTGGGTTAAACCAAATTGCCACTACATTACATGTTTAAATATAATTTCAGTTCCAAGTGTCGATGCACTTGGTATTACATGTGGCAGATTACACCATAGGACGTAAATAATATACTGTAACTGAGAAACACACAAGGAGATTCGCAATTAAGTCTTGGACTAAAATGCACTGATCGATGTGGCACCACCAATGTTGACAATCTTCACAAGCAAAAAAAAGAGTACAGCAGAAGTGTTTATTCTGTAAGGGGCAATATTTCGACTTGGAGGTGGTGGGAAATGAACAATAACAGTGCGAGAGTTAACCTATATTATATTCCTAACATCGCAGCAATGAATTGACAGATTTATGTTAAACTGAGCAATAATTAAAGATACATGTTCACATGCACGAAAAGGAGTACCTGGTACTCGGTTACCTAATCATAGGCAACCGCTAGGCGGGCCTTATGCTGCCAGGTGTTAAAATCCATGGTTCAAGATAGGTAACACCACCACGAGTCGCTTATAAAGGTGCTTTCTACACCTTGCTGTTGTGCATTCTTCCATTCAATGAAATTACCTTTGCTTAGAGAAAGCAACTTAAAACAGATAACAGGCATTTATTATATTACTTTAAATGGTTGTTTTGCGAGCATAAGTCACAAAATAAGCAACCAAGGCTAAAATGTCAAACCGAGCTAGAGTCATTAAACAAACTCAGAAACCATGCGAGGCACCTAAAAAACATAAACGCAAATTGAAACCGTGTAAAGAGCAGCAGGGATTTTATTAGTTGTAGCCTTGAACCAGCGAGTCCACATTTGTCTGCCCGAAACATGTTTCTCCAGAAAATAAATTACGAACTCCGCTTGTGGCTTATTAATTGCATTCACAACCATCATAGAAGTGGCAATAAATCATTGTACCTATTACCTGACAATTTCCTTATTTAAAAAAACTCCTCTTCCGTGGCATGCGAGTGCATGTGTACACACTTTAAGCCACCACTTGAGCCATCCGGCTACTTGAGCACACACATTAGCCCAACAAAAGCCATCAATGACTCAGTGTGGACCAATGTTTACTGCCGAATGGAATTGGCCCAACATTGGTGCTTAATTCACATTCGGGAGGTCATTACAAGTGCCCACCTGATCATGACAGTCGAACAAGTTTTCCCCCCCCCTCCCACCCAAAATTTGTTCGCATCTCCCGAAAACCAACCGTTTACAACAGAAAAGTAGCGACAAATGCGAGTGCGCACATAACATTCAGAGCTCAAGCTGGGGCGGTGTGCAATGAGCAAGGCTTTCTTCAGCACGTTTCTGACAAACATGGGTACTTATTTCCTAAGCGCCAAGAACTGGGCGAGACTTTCTTGAGGCCATTCAAACAAGACACCCGGTCGAGGGCGCCGTGTCTGTATCACTTTCACAAGGCTGCGACTTGAATGCCAGTTGGCGATTTATTTACTATTCCCGTGATATCCCCCCCCCCCCCCCAAGGTTGATCAATTCTGCATAACATTTTTGGGAAGCTAACACCGCAATTGGCCAATAAATACCAGCCCGTATCATAACAAAGGTAACATTCACCCCCGATGGAAGACTTGAATGAGTCATGCAAACCCTCTAATGCCCTCTACCTCCCCTACACTGCCATCACCACCTCCATTCACCTCGCATTGTACAGCAAAATGCGGACTAGTCGCCATCTGTGATATGGCCATCAATATGGGATAGAATATGTATCCATCGCACGCATGGAGTTTCACTAGGTTATCCGGTTCCCGCCCACATTTATAAACTCATTAAAATTGGCGGAAAACATCTTACCATTCAGAGGACCGCAGAGCTAGAAAATTGCCGCCTTCGAAAGGCAGTATTGACGAACAATTATGCTTGAGCGCGAAAAATAAGCAAATGCAGCATTAACAAATAATTTCCTCCATGCCAATTGTAATGCAGTGGCTCAATCTTGTTAGGATATAAAGGCCCCACCCCCACCCCCATTTAAGATCACTCGTCCCCGTTCACAGGCAGACGGGATGGCCCTGCAGAGCACGTGGCTCGGAGCGCTGCCAGCACCAAGCGTTCAGGTGGGGGCATTCACTCCACATTGGCGCGCAATGCGAAAGTGGAGCGCTTGGGGGCGCACCACACCAGCTCATACACCTGACACTGCCTCCATCCCGAACCAATTCGACAACCAGCCACCAACCCCCTAGCCAGTCACCCAGCTACGAGTCAACCAGCCACCAACCCCCTAGCCGGTCAACTAGCCAGTCACCCAGGTACAGGTCAACCAGCCACCAGCCCCTAGCCGGTCAACTAGCCAATCACCAAGCTACGAGTGAACCAGCCACTAGCATTAGTCAACCAGCCACCAACCCCCTAGCCAGTCACCCAGCTACGAGTCAACCAGCCACCAACCCCCTAGCCGGTCAACTAGCCAGTCACCCAGGTACAGGTCAACCAGCCACCAGCCCCTAGCCGGTCAACTAGCCAATCACCAAGCTACGAGTGAACAAGCCACTAGCATTAGTCAACCAGCCACCAACCCCCTAGCCAGTCACCCAGCTACGAGTCAACCAGCCACCAACCCCCTAGCCGGTCAACTAGCCAGTCACCCAGGTACAGGTCAACCAGCCACCAGCCCCTAGCCGGTCAACTAGCCAGTCACCAAGCTACGAGTGAACCAGCCACTAGCATTAGTCAACCAGCCACCAACCCCCTAGCCAGTCAACTAGCCAGTCACCCAGCTACGAGTCAACCAGCCACCAACCCCCTAGCCGGTCAACTAGCCAGTCACCCAGGTACATGTCAACCAGCCACTAGCATTAGTCAACCAGCCACCAGCCCCCTAGCCGGTCAACAAGCCAGTCACTCCTAGCCGGCCAACTAGCCAGTCACCAAGCTACGAGTCAATCAGCCACTAGCATTAGCCAACCAGACACCAGCCCCGTAGCCGGTCAACTAGCCAGTCACCCCTAGCCAGTCAACTAGCCAGTCACCCAGCTACGAGTCAACCAGCCACCAACCCCCTAGCCGGTCAACTAGCCAGGCACCAAGCTAGGAGTCAACCAGCCACCAGCATTAGTCAACCAGACACCAGCCCCTAGCCGGTCAACTAGCCAGTCACCCAGCTACGAGTCAACCAGCCACCAGCATTAGTCAACCAGCCACCAACCCCTAGCCAGTCAACTAGCCAGTCACCCCTAGCCGGTCAACTAGCCAGTCACCCAGCTACAAGTCAACCAGACACCAGCCCCCTAGCCAGTGACCCAGCTAGGAGTCAACCAGACACCGATGGCAGTCCTTGGACTCGCTCAGGAGCCCAAAGCAGAAACCACCGCAGCGCTAAACTCCCTCTCACAAACTCGAATCCGTCACCCCCTCGCCACGGGGCTTTCTGCCCCCTCCTCGGCACCCTGTCCTCACTCCTGCCGCTCTTCGGGTCCAGCAGCAGCAACCGAGAGAGAGACAAAGGCGGCCGTGGAAGACGCGCCACCGCCTGCTACTGTACCTCGCTGTTGTTGTTCCCGCCGTTTCCGGGTGACGTCAGCGCCCAGGGGTTTTGCGATTCTCCCTTAAATACGATTCTCTCCCGATTCGAATCCTTACATCCCAACGTTAATAGGAGAATCGATTAAACAAATGGTGTGGTTGTTCCACGATTCTCCCTTGAATACGATTCCAACTCGCGATTCCATTGCTTAGGTCCTATCGATAATTATTTGCAAATGTATTGGTTGTGACACGATTCTCCCTTGAATACGATTCCCTCTCGCAATTCGATTACTTACATCTCATCGTTAATTGGAGACTCTATTATGCAAATGTATTGGTTCTTCCAGGGTGGTCCTGATCAGAATCAGAATATTTATTGATACCGGAGGAATCCGATGAGCTGTAAAGCTCTTTATTTTCACGGATGTCCAGGAGGGGCGGGTAAAAAAAACCCGTTAAAACAACAGACAATACAAACAAAATAATAATAAAAAATATTATTTTATTGTTTCCCTTGCACGTGACTTTACCGAAAGAACCAAGAATATGAATCCCTGCAGTCACGAAAGCTTTAAATAAAAAAAATACAAACAAAGGCAAACAAAACATCCCAGTAAACATACAGATAAAACTAAACCATGCTACCAGGTAGAGTCCACTCAAGTGGGAACTTAATCTTTTTTTAAAAGCGACCTGGCCACAAATGATAATTTAACAAAGTGGCTTATCACGTAGAAATTGACAGCAGAAAAATAATGTCTTGTGATCCCCCCTCTACCCCCCCCCCCCCACCAATTAAATGACCCCTAAATATTTGTTTTAAGATTTGATACTAGCAGGGATACTTGCGGCTATCTTTAGTGAATGTATAGTGGCTCAATCGTTGTGTTCAGAAGGACGGGGGCAGTGGGGGGGGGTCAATAGCGTTACAGCAACTGTTAAGATGTTGCTGTGACATAGGGCCCATAGGGCCTGCTGTAACGAATGTAGCGGAAGGTGCCGCAATGTGGTAACGAAATGATACTGCACGGGATTGTTGGCAAACGTGCCGGGTAATCACGAAGCATTTTTAATCTGCACGTGGCAGAGTAACGCAGCGGGCACAAGCGGTGGCTGGAAAAAAAAGAGGTCTCATTGACACATGTTGAACTCAAAAGGGGAACAATTCTATTCAAAGAACATTCATTGGTGTAGGGAAAACAAAGTTGGGAGGCCGCGTGAATTGGTAGTGTAAGTTGGGGAAGGAATTATGTTCTTGTTGTAATTATTGGAATTTTAAATTAGGCAAAGTTTAATCATCTCTTGATTGAGTTTAGTATTTTTGTAGGTCGCATGGAGAATAGTGATAAAAGTTAATGTTTTTTTTTAATGTAAATACTTTAAAAGTTAATTATGCCGTTTTGTTTATCTCGCCACGGAAAGACAACGGGCGAGGTCGCCGAGGATGGCCCTTAATTGGAATCACCGCAACGGGTTTATTGGGTGATGCCAATCAACGGCAAGTGTTAGATTAACTTAATGAGGAGGGTGGTGGTGGTGGTGTTAATTACGTGATTGTGAGATGTGCGAGGCCAGATAAATGTGTGCTGGTTTAGGGATGGTGGGAGCGTGTGGGTACCGTTTGCATACCTGTCAATCCCTTATCAGTGCCAACCTTATTACACACCTTATTGGTCACCCCGTGCCCCTTATAAATATCAACATTCATCCTACAAAGTCCCATCACAAGGGAGAAACACAGACATGTTTTTGCCTGTATTGAAACGGCTGTTTCCATGTACAATAATACGGCTATACCGCATGGGTTGACAATTATGCGTTTGGGGGGCACTGAGCCCCCCTATATATTATGTCGGCTCGCCATGTCGCTAAGGTTTTCCATGAGGATTTAAAATGTAACCCTGCCAAGCTTGGTGGCGATAGCTTTAACGGTGTGGATTTGTAATCGGAACAAACAGACTTTCATTTTATATACACATAAAAAGATAACAGATTGCTTACATTACATTACACACCCATTGATAAACACACATTATGACGTTTTACAGAATTAAATTTGGGGGGGGGGGATCACAATACATCTGGATCACTCTGAACAGTAACATTCGGGGTTGCTAAGATGACCGGTTCAGAAATGGAGGAACCGGTAACCGATTCCAACGCAATTTAATAATGAACGCACTGGTTGAAGCTTACGCCTACTCTTTCAATTGATATATTTATAAACTGCAGTGGCGGGAAATAAACTAAAACTGAACGAATTTGTATTTTTATCAAGCAAGGCCCACTGAGCTATGTAGTTCTCAGAAGCGACTTGGCCTATAAATGATAGCTCAACGAAGCGGCTTATCACGTGGAAATGTATAAAAGAGTGATGTTTATTCTAAATGTGGAGGGAAAGACCGGAGGATCCGGAGAAAAATCCACACGACCACGGGGAGAGAGAGATGCAAACACCAAATATACAGCTGCAGGCGTCATAGTCGGTGATTGAATCCACGACCTCCTGTGTACCAGGCGAGGTAGTTGGGATCATTGTGCCAAACACTACACAACAGTGGCTCCCGTTGTTTCTCAGGCAAAATTGTAAAGCTGTTATTTTTAGTTGGGAAGCAACTCTCTATTGTTCTGACTTGATTCTGTGGGGGGGGGGGGGGGGAATCTGATATCTCAAATCTGAAGTGGAGGGCCTCCACTAGAGGGAGCTAATAACATCATTTTTGGAAGAGTTCTGTAAATAATTATAATAGAAACATAAACCCATTTAAGGAATTCAACTTTACGAATCTTACAGTATTCTTGCTTTGCAACTCTTGGATGGGTTCCGTATTTGTGTTTATATTTTTTATTGCCAGGAATTTCGTTGGGCGGCAAACCGGTAACCGGTTTTGAACAGGTTTTACCTTCTCATTCGGTTCCCGGCCATGCTCGACATATCTTCTTCGATAGATAAATATAAACCTTAATCTGTATGTCTCAAAACGCTCAGGGTAGAAAGATGACATTTGGTACATCGGTAGCTTTTAGGACACAAACAACAGTAAAAATCTGGAAATCAGAGATTGTTCATTTTAAGACTCCCAAATCTCGATTTTAATTGCCCCATAAACGGGTCTGTGCCTAGTGTCATTCAGAAACCGTTCAAAATATAGGATTGTGTTTTTTTTTTGTTTTATAGAGCGTTAAACAGAAAGTAAATTATATCGAGAACCATTGTTCTATGTTTGATTGTTTTAAAGATATTTCGGATTCAAGTGGTTTTTAACGAAAAAATACACATTTTATTACGTTCAAATCTGAATAATTTGAAAACAGTAAAAGATAGGAGATTCAACTCATAGAGTTTAAGTTAATTATTTTTTGTTCTTTGATAAAAAAAAAAGAACGGAATCTTTAAATTGAGTGGTTTTCGATGAGTACATGTTTAAATAGAAGTTGAATCAAGTCATCAACATTTTTTTGTTATTTTTTGCGGAAAAATACACATTTTTGGAGTAGTTGTTAGTGTCTGTAGATATTTTTTTAAATAATATCAGTTTCATTATTATATTAATTTTAAAAGTGTGCCTGGCAAAGACAGGCCTTATGAACTAGTTCTTCAATACCACTTCGGCCTTACAGGAAATCAAATATCTAATAGGTGACGTTTCGGGCAATGGTCCTTCAGAGCACATACATGATGTTACAATGTTGTAATTGGACATTGTTGGTCTTCATCCAGCGATGGACGAAGCATGTTTGATGATGACACGAGGCTGACTACGAGTGTCTGGCCAGCACCACGGCTCTCTTCACTGCAGCGATTCCCAATGGAGAGGCAATTCTTTGTTACAATTCGAGTCAAAAGTCCCACAATTATAAGTCGATTCTATTCTTTCTAAACGTGTTTAAGAATTGTTGCTCTCAGCTAATCTTTCATATGGCTGATGTAGATGCAGACCAAAACTACAATTTCACATTCAGGTGGTCAAGCCAGATAACCGCATCAGCAATAACGGATTGTATCGCTGTGATGTCACCTTCCTAATTGTGGATCCATAATTACATCGTTATATGTTGTACGGTCTGTTCTGGATGACCACAGTCGCACACTGGAGAGTTTTTAAGTTTCAATTTGTGCATCAGTTATCCGCATCTGCCATGGTTTGTACGGATGCCGTCTAGGGTGGACCAAGCCAATGACCTTCGTGGGAGATCAAACCCACAGATCTTCTGCGTTGGGTCTTTCAAGATCGGTAGATCAACCGACATAGAATAACCAAATAAAAACTATTGTTTCCTCTCTTCCCACGTGTGCCGCTGGACGGGAGGTGATGACTGGGGCTTGGTGACGTCACAGGCATCATCTTTGGGGGAGGCAAGTGGTGGTGGCCGTCATATGAATTGGGGAATGATATAATCTATACCACATTTTTTGTGGCTGATTCATATGCTCAATCGGAAGCAGGAGAGAGGGGCAAGTGGAGACACTCTCTCGTGCTGCCTGTAGGAGGCGGAACAACACTGGGAACTTAAATACACCGTCCTCCGTGTCTACACGTACAATCCGCTGCTACACGGGGGGGGGGGGGGGGGGGGGGTCAGACATTTGTGACGATGTGTGACGAGGGGAGGGGGGGGGGGTGAGAAATGTGACGTCACATCAAAATGCGCAACTTTAAATAAATATAGACAGCACGTTCTACTTAATTAAATGGACTTTTTGATAAATGTTTTCTCCTACAACATCAGAGTGCAGCGCCACATTAAATACGCACTACAGTGACAATAGTTTAAAGCTAAGTGAAGCATGTTTTATATATATATATTTTTTGGGGGGGGCAGAGCTTTCTGACGTCATATTTGAGGGATGGGGGGGGTCTGACTTTTTGTGACGCCGTGTAACGTGGGCGGGGGGGGGGTAAAAAACCGTCCAAAATCGCGTGACGTCATTTATGGACGGCCCCTTCAACGTATCAGAAGACGCCCATTGACGTTTGTTGCAGCGCCTTGTAGTAACCTGAGCGCGATGGTGGCTATGCACGTGGCTTGTAATCCAGCACTGCATGCACGAACGACGTGAAACTCCCTTCCTCTGTGGGCGTCGAGGTGCCATGACCCTTGGTCGCCAGGAGAGAGCAGTACAGCGAGTGGACTTATCGCCAAC